AACTGATGTCGTAAATATCAAATACTCTAGCTCATTTCTAAATGAAGTAATTTGAAACACACAGTGAGATGTTCCATTCTATAGTTTGCACTACCCTCCTATCCGACTGAAAAATCTGAAAAAATTTTCTCCGAAATTCATCATTTTTGTACTTCTTCTGGATACGCCACTCAAAAGAAAATGTATTGAAACCTATAAGATCATATTAATTCCAGGCTGTCATCTATTTTCTACGTGAAAATTGTAGAAGATCCCTTAATGAGTTTTTACAAATCTTTTGATCTCCAAATCCCACGAAAGAAAAAAGTGGTAGTTTGCAAAACCATTTTTTCTTATAGTTTGAAGTGTGTTTTATTCGCTGATAATACTTTTAAGTGCACTCATTCACTTTCTTTTTCGACCATATTTTCAAAAAAAAACGGTACAATAGACAGTATAATTACTCATATATATCTATGTATGAAAGACTAGGTATTAGAAGAGCCCATGTGATTCGAACCGGAAAAAAACCGGCGGTATACCGCCGGTAGACCGTTCGGTATAATGTGCGCTCTACCGGCGGTTAACCGGCGGTTTTGCCGGTAGTTGCAAAAAAACCGGCGGTATNTGTCGACCAGCTGAATGACCGACGACAATTACTCGATTACTGTTGAAACCATGTTCTTTAGCAATTGTTCGAATAAGATCAGTACCATTGGCCATATCATAGAATGTATTCGGATAATCACCTCCATTTCCAATAGAACGATAGTCCAAATTACAGACAACAATCTTAAACCGAAGAAGATCATTGCCTACGGCGTCTTCAATTGAACGGTTGTATATACTGTTCTAGAAGCCACCATGAATGAGAAGTACAACAATAGGAGCATAAGGACCTTTTGGAAGATGACAGTCAATAACTTGAATAGGATCAGATCCATATTTGTATGCAACACGTTTATCATCATTAGGATAAAGACCATCTGTACATACATGAATAAATATCATATATTTTATTGAGATTAAAATAATGAAAATACAAAGGTCTATGTCTTTTAGAAAAAAACGTTGATGAATGCAAATAAGTTATATAGATGAAAAAAATTCTGTTTTAATCAAAAGAATATAGTGACTTGAATTTTATTTCTTACCTTGACATGGGCCAAATGTACTTTTGTTGTTCTTATTCCAATGTTGATTTTGAATAAAATTAGTTACTGAACAGATTGTACTAGAACAGGCAATATCCTTTGAGTTTCGTTTTTGAATACTAGTAGCATGTGTTGATGCTATAAAATATAAATGCTTCGATTTTAGCTATTTTATGTATCTCATTCTTTGTTCTATAATACCTATTCATTCTGTGTATCGTTTTATGTTAATCGTTGAATAAAAAATTCAATCGTTTACTATAAAATTCTTGACTTTTTCTGTATCTATCAAATTATATGTTTTATATAAAACAGATGGATATATATTTGTATTGTAAATTTCTATTTAAAGATTATTATACATACTTGATGATATGGCTTGGTCAAACGAACATAAACTCATGTTAATATTAAGTGTGTGTCCGTTAATAAATTTAATTCGGAAAATGAATTGTTTGGATGCAGAACTGTTGTGGATTTTTGTTTTGTCGACTAAGTATTGTTGCTACACTACCATAGTATAATTTACTGGATATTTAATTGAAAGATGAATGATAAAAAGATCTCCGATAATATTTGTCTTTTGAGTTTTGCATAGGTTAAAACTAGAATAAAAACGAAAATAATAAATGTAAGAATATAGTAATATTTTGGTTGTACTTCTCAAGTGTTTCTCGCTTCTTATTATCTTCATTTGTGATTATAGGTACAAATTAAGCTTTATTAACATTTACATTAGTTAAACCAAGATGTGTATTAAGCTATTAGAAAACAAAACAATAAATAGCAATGAAATACGGCATGCATACATACATACCCTGATAGTAAGTGAATCTAGATCAACGACTTTTGGTAAACTAATATCATTCATGTTGGTTTGATAAATAATAATGAAAGATACTTTTTCTTTTTTTGAAAAATTCGAAATAATCAGCACAGTTAGAATAATACCTATCAAAGTAGTCATAGTAAATAAACCATAGAAAATATGCTTCCATCTCTTCCAATCATAGTGTTCTAAATTCCTTTAAAAACGTACATTGTTACGTGAAAATTTACATGCTGATCTTCACTTGTAAAATTGAAGATTTTAAGAAAAAAAGATTTACCATCTTAATATTGATGATGATTGTGTATCAAAAATGACATCTTTATCGTTGTCTTGCATTAGTCGTATAGTCATAAAGTATAAAATACTAATGCAAAAAATATATATTCGATCGATGGCAATAATCTTTATGATAAGAACAAAAAGTATTAGTCCAACTACTCCTGCTGTTTATTAATCCCATGATTACTTATTCGCAGTATGATAAGTAAATCAGTGCAGATATAAAAAGCAATCTTTACTTAGGCCTATTGTCAACATCGTTAGAAAACTAAAATATTTGTTGATATTAATTTATTCCTTTAAATATACAAGACATTTCAAAAGTCTACATGAAGGAAGAGCCGATGCATTACTATATGAAACCGAACCATATATTTCGAGATGAGTTGCGCTGAATCAAATATAAATTTAACACATAGTTTGATATGAAATCAGGAACGTTAAACTTGTAAAAAAAAATTCATCGGTGCATTCGTCATCAAAGAGATTATGTATCTATTATTTCTAGAAGACGACGACGATTGGTAAAAATACAGATATTTGTTTCATCTTTATGGAAAATATGCTTCAGGGAATTCCATAAGATACCTGAGATATTTAACAAAGAGAACTTCATAAAGTCTTTGCTAAAAAAGGAATGTTAATGTGGCACCGATTATCCGAACGAGTGTAAACTTAATAGTAAATTGAATTGTTCACTCCAAAGTCTGATATTTGAAACTCCTCATGTATAGTTCTCGTATTGGAAATGCAATAGCTTTTTTGCAAGCAGTCCGATGGAAACCGGCTAGATTATAAACAGTAGAGGATGATCAGTTATGAAAGTGGACCTAGATATTAGGGTGACTAACTGTAAGTGGCGCTCCATAGGCAAAGGGCAGACAAACAAATAGTCGTTGATCTGGGAGATTCAACGGGTGGGTGTGGGTGGGGGTGTGGGGGTGGGGTTGGGGGGGGGGTGAGGGGGTGGGGCCGGCTCGCGCGTGANTTTGCCATGAATGTCTGAACATTTCCATTTTTGATATTATGCTTTCAATATTTCAAAAATTTACTCATGTATCGCCATATGAAGTCTTACGAAAAAAGAAGTACAAGAAACCGGCTACCGATATACAGTGAATCACAATATAGCTCAATTCGTGCTAACGATATTCTTTCAAATTCTTATTGGAAAAACCATTCTTTCGTTTTTGTATATCGACTACGCTGCATATATTACTTGTAGTTTTTCTTAATTCCGAATGTGAGAAAGTAAACCTTGCTAATCGGTATGAAACATTTTAATGCTTCTTTCTTTCTGCTGCTTAATTTAATTAATACAGAAAAATAAATCTAACTCTTCTGAGTTATTTTCAAGAATAAAAAAAATATTTAAAAGCTTTTTTTACATGATAGTACATAAGAAAAATCGTTATCGTTGAAAAATAATCAACTCTACGCATGCAAAAACAAGAAAAGTTTGTCGAAATGAGTCTTGTATCAAAACGTTTGTTATTTCTTTCCGTAATTAGTTTTATGTAATTATTTTATTAATTCAATTTTTTATAGGTATAGTCACAAGTCACCGTGTCCTGATATTCATACTATCTCCTAATATATAATTAAAGATGAGAGAACAGAAATAATTCTCATATTTATTATTCTTTATATTTTATCTTACAAACACCAAGATACTCAACATGAAATAGAAATAAAAACAACAATAATGATATTTTCTAGCGGTACAACAATACAATCAATAATAGTCATATCTATCTTGCTGTTAACCTTTTTTTAAGGTAACTTTGCTTTGATTATTTGTGAATGAATCTATTAACATAACTATTATTGTCCTAGTAAACCTCATGTATAAAATGTTTTGGTTAATATTGAAGAAGATTAGTGAATAATAATTTTTTTTATTAATTAACGAATATTAATTCACAAAAAATCAATAAAGTGAATGTATAGACCATTCTTAAGATTGATATAAATGGTGTCATAACTTATCGTGATTTTGAAAAATAATTTTTTTTTCAATGTCAAAACGAAAATATCTTAACAACAATATATTATGGATTTCAATCCATTGCGATTTTTTTCTAAGTGCTATTGAGATCTATTCATGACCAAAATATTGAGACGACAATTCAGAAAAAGATAGAAAATTTTATCATTCTTCTTCAGGTATTAAACACGTGTATCAACTGAGTATGTCATAAAAATAATCTGATAATTATTAGTATCATTTTAAATGTTGCTATTTTTGCTGCATATGGTGATTGAATTATGCGTTGTAAAAAAAATCTTATTTTAATTACAAATTTGTAGAGAAATATTATATGATATTCACAATAAAATACCTAGCGAGATGAAGATGACAATTAATATGATGATTGTATATTATTTCACTAAAATATTCATCAAATCTTCAGTGTTCATAATCAAATATGAGATGAAGCTAACATAAAAAAAGAATTGATTGAAATGAATACTCTTCAGTGAATAATACTTTGTCATGATGGACGTGATTGAATGACGCACTTTGTTCTATGTATTATTTCAAAAACATGACGAATAAAATATGTCGCATATATAGATGACGTATGAAGAGGCTATTTGCCGCGCCCTTCATTTTATCAAAATGATTTACAATTCATGCATGAATGATTTCATTTCGTTCTTTTTTCACAATAAGACTAAGGTATAAATAGATACAGATTCATTGACTTTTTCATAAAACCTGAATTTCATTCTTATACAAGAATCAACACAATATGCATCATTTTCTTGAAGACGCTTTACTCGTTGGAGCATTAGGATTTGGGGCATATGAATTATATCACTTATATCAGTACGGTAATTTCGGCATTGGAAATCCCTATCACCATACTATGGGATTTGGGGGATATGGTGCACCATATGGCTACAGTAGTTTCGGTTATGGCCAGCCATATGGACATCATCATCATCATGCTTTTTAACAAGAAAATAAACTCTTGTTTTCATCTATTTTATTTTTCTGTATGCGTTCAATATGATCATCACTATTTTAATAAACTTAATATGTAAATATTTATTCTGTTTTTTTTTTGAAGTAGAAATGATTAATCAATTCATTCACAATAGCAAGGCATATGTAAATTACTTTATACATAATTTAATGTAGAAACAAATAGATATTTCAACATTGTAAAAAATTTCAATTTAATGAAATTGAAAGGAACTGAACAAATAAAAGTTATGTTATCTTATGTTACGCATCAGACTTAATTCATCATGAGTAATAATAGTTTTATGCATTGTTGACACTGCGTTAATCCATTTCATTTTGAGTTGGTTAAACACTCAAGCAACAGTTTATGATAAAAACGATTTTTCTGTTTTCATTTGACGAAACTTTGAAAATATTCGATTTTGTTCATGTCTATCTCAATTATCATATAAATGGTCTTGATATAGAATCAAATATGGACTTAAAGATCATTTTTTATTCTCAAAACATTAAATAATTTTATGTTTGTTTTAAACAAAAATGATATTTTGTCTAGTGAGTTAATATACCAAAAAAATTTGTTTTCAATATTTACTAAATATAATACTTATCCATTAAATTAAAATTCAGTATCAATAATTGAGACATTCGACTTTGTATCTATTGAAATTAATCATATGAATCATATTTACTAATTTAACTCGAATTTAAATTGAACAATATCCTAATTCTTTTAAAATGTATCGATGACCTTTGTACTCGGTGAACATGATACGTCTATAAACATGAGTCAGATGTCTGCCCGCATCTTACAACCACGTTCAATATGCGTACACATTTTAGTGAAGAGAACACAACATTTACTTTATCTTTCAATAAACTGATAACGAACGAACAGTAATGAACCAATGATTGAAACAATGTTATATTAGATCAACAAAAACACAGTATTATAGTTCAGCTGTACGACTAATGTACGTCTGTATAATGAAGTAATTACGCACAAATATTTAATTGTTTCATAATTATGAAATAAAACCTTAACAACACATATCTGGATTGATAAAAAAATGGAATAATAATTACGATGAAGAAGCATCATTGAAAATATCATACCATACGGACGATTTACCAAAAAAGAATCTGTGATAGTAGTTCTTCAGATTAATTCGAGCCAACGATTTGGATGTTTACTTAAAAGTAACTGTCAGCTTTTGGAAATCCACTTATTGTAGGAGTAAACAATACATTTGTATTGTGTCAGATATAAGGTGTGAATAAAGAACTAACTAAATAGTAATCCGTTATATATTTGTTTTTATAACAGTATAATGATGTTCTCCTATGATAATGAAACGAAAACATCCACTATGGTTCTATATTTATTTTAAAATTGCATGAATCATTATGGTTCTCTTTTATGTAGTTTAATACTTTTCATACATACACATTCTCTTTCAATCTTATTTTCTTGTTTCTGCTTTACGGTTTTAAGACAAATAGTCACGCTTCTGCGATAACTAAATAAGGAATCAATAGAATTCATTTCATTTTATTTGTAAGGTTCTACTATTGTGATCTTGGTACATGTTAGAGACATATTCTATTCTATAACTAATGTACAACATCGTGCTTTTATTTATGCTAATCTAGATTCTACTGATGAACATCATGCAAAAATTTTTACTGGAAGAAAACTAAAAGATAAAGAGAAATTTATTCAGTCGTGAGGGTGCGGGTATATCGATGTGGATCAACTTGACCGTGTATTGTTGTGAACTATGAATGGGTTTGAGTGTTGGTATAGGTATAGTTGGAACTAAACAGAGAGCTCATGCCCATCCGAACTATTATAACTATTTGATATGTCTCGAAAAGCACCTTTCAACGATCACAAACATTCACACCCTTATCTATTTAAATTGGTAAAATTTATTCAACAATTAAACATTTTGAAGTAGTTTTCAACGTGTTTTCGAAGACGCAACACTTTATTTAAGCACTATTTTTTCAGTTTAGGCGAGGAATTTCATTAGACAATTGAATGAGAACTCTTTTGTCTCTGAATTGAAATTAATTCAAAATCACGACGATCTTTTTTATTATATTGCAACTGTAAATCTACAGTATATAAGCTGTACCTAACACAACTAGATGGTTAAATGATATGTTATTTATATTCAATTTCAATATTGATTAGAATATTTCATGATAAGATAAAATTAAATACTCATAAAACGAATATACTCTAATACATAAATGACAAAAAAACTCTTCATCTAAAGCATAGGACTTATTCTTTGATTTGATTATTTCTTTTTTCTTTCCCAGTTTTTGTTCGCTATTGGTCTTGATAAGATGTTTGAACATAGTATACTCAAACAATGAAAACTGCTTCGATACTCCACATTTTCGTCTTCATTTTCGTAATATAATAATCTAAATCTACATCGATCTAAAGTTTAAATCGATGTTTGTTATGTCGTATTTCATTGAGTTTATTTTCCCCACAGAAAATACAATTATTTCTGAAAAAAACGATTTTAGAAAAAAAAAGACTCATCAAGGAAGAAACATTTCAAGAGTCTATCGTTATAATTTATAATTGATTTGTTGTTCAAGAAATGAAAGATAAGATAAAAGTCAATGTTCTATTCCAAGACTTCGAAGAAATATTCAGATGAACAAAATGATCTTCGCCTTCAACAATCACTCTGGTACAGTCATCACCAGCGCTTTTGGCTCGTTCAGCAAAAGTTATTGTCTGACTAATAGATACAGTAATATCTGCTGATCCAGTAATAGCTTGTATTGACACTTTTAATGGTAGATATTGGCTTGGATACTTTGCTCTAAATATACAAAAATCAGTGTTAGATTCATAAAAATTATTTTCTTTTTTCTGTGATTTTATAGAAAACTACGTAAATCAAATCGGAACTATTATAACAAGTCTTGTTATCTTTGAAATATTTTTAGGAAATATTCGTATGAAAAATCTTTTTTTTTTCAGAACATATCAAGCTCATAGAAATTTCATTTCTATATGAGAGAAATGAAAACAAATTAGTTGTCGACTCTTTCTCTATTGAATAATTTCATTTAATCAGTTCTTTTTTGAAAATTCTGTTAAAACTGAATCTATTCTTTGCAAGAATTTTCATTATTAAGTAATCATAGAGATTTATACAAACTTGACTGAAAGATTGCTCGAAGCCGCCAATGATGATAACAGATATCGTTCTGGATACGTTTGATACGGTCCACCAAGAAACGAGATTACTGCACCAGAACCTGTTTCATTAGCCTGATCGGCGCCATCCCACATGTTATTCACGCCCGCTTGACTGACAAAAGCTATAGGACGAAGAGGATTTGTGCTATATCCAGGTTGGTCTGGCGTGAGTCTGAAGCGTCCTGTTATGTAGCCTCCCAATTGTCCACCAGCTGAGTGACCGACAACAATTACTCGATTACTGTTGAAACCATGTTCTTTAGCAATTGTTCGAATAAGATCAGTACCATTGGCTACATCATAGAATGTATTCGGATAATCACCTCCATTTCCAATAGAACGATAGTCCAAATTACAGACAACAATCTTAAACCGAAGAAGATCATTGCCTACGGCGTTTTCAATTGAACGGTTGTATATACTGTTCCAGAAACCACCATGAATGAGAAGTACTACAATAGGAGCATAAGGGCCTTTTGGAAGATGACAGTCAATAACTTGAATAGGGTCAGGTCCATATTTGTATGCAATACATTTGTCATCATTAGGATAAAGATCACCTATACATACATGAATAAATATAATATTTTTATTGAGATTTTTAAGTATCTTCACAATCATCTTTTCTTAGCAAAATAAAACATGTTCAAATGAAAACAAAGAAAATAAGAAGGTTTATCTCTTTCAGAAAACTGTTGATGAATGCAAATAAGTTGTATAGATGATAAAAATTCTGTTGTAACCAAAAGAATATGGTGACTTGAATTTTATTTCTTACCTTGGCATGGGCCAAATGTACTTTTGTTGTTAATATTCAAAATGGTGTTCTCATTCCAATTTTGATTTTGTATAAAATTAGTTACTGAACAGATTGTGCCAATACAGGCAATGTCCTTTGAATTTCGCTTTTGAATACCAGTAGCGTGTGTTGATACTATAAAACATAAATGTTTCGATATGTTTACTAGAGTTAACTTCTAGCCATTTTATGTATCTTATGCTCTGTTCTATGATTCCTATTCCTTCTGTGTATCATTTTATATTGATCGTTGAATGAAAAATTCGTAAATACCTTTTACTATAAAATTGTTGACTTTTTCTTTATCTATCAAATTCTCTGTTTTATATAAATAGATAAATATATATTTGTATTGCATATTTCTGTTGGAAGATTATTATGCATACTTGATGATGTGACTTGGTCAAACGAACAGAAACTCATGTTTACATTAAGTGTGTGTCCGTTAATGAACTTAATTGGGAGAATGAATTGTTTGGATGCAGAACTGTTGTAGATTTTTGTTTTGTCGGCCAAGTATTGTTGCTGTACCATCATAGTATAATTTAATGGATGTTCAATTGAAAGATGAAGGATAAAAAGATCTCCGATAGTATCTGTCTTTTGAGTTTTGCATAAGTTCAAACTGCAATTAAAACGAAAATCATAAATGTAAGAAGATAGTGATATTTTTGCTGTACTTCTTAATTGTTTCTCGCTTCTTATTATCTTCATTTGTGATCATAGGTACAAATTGAGCCTTATTAACATTTACATTAGGTAAACCAAGATGTTTATTAAGCTAGTAGAAAAAGAAACAATAAATAGCAGTCAGATGCGGCATATATACGTACATTGATAGTAAGCGAATCTAGATCAACGACTTTTGGTAAACTAATATCATTCATGTTGGTTTGATAAATAATAATGAAAGAAACTGTCTCTTTTCTTGAAAAATTTGGAATAATCAACACAGTTAGAATAATACCAATCAAAGTAGTCATAGCGAATAAACCGTAGAAAATATGCTTCCATCTCTTCCAATCAAAGTGTTCTAGATTCCTTAAAAAACGTACATTTTTACGTGAAAATTTTCATGTTGATCTTCACTTGTAAAGTTGAAGACTGTAAGAAAAAAAGACTCACCATCTTAATATTGATGGTGGCTGTGTATCAAAGATGATATGTTTATCGTTGTCTTGCATTAGTCACATACTCCTGAAGTATAAAACACAAATGCAAAGAATATATTCGATCGATGGTAATAATCTTTATGATAAGAACAAAAGTATTAGTGCAACTGCTCCTGCTGTTATTAATCCCATGGTTATTTATTCGCAGTATGGTAAGCAAATCAGTCAAGATATAAAAAGCAATCCTTGCATAGACCTATTGTCAATATTAATAGAAAACTAAAATAAAGTAATTATTGATTATAATTTATTCTTTAAAATATACAAGACATTTCAAAAGTCTGCATGAAGAGCCGACGCATTGCTGTATAAAACCGAATCATATATTTCGAGATGTGTTGCGCTGAGTCAAATATAAATTTAAAATATAGTTTGATATGAAATCAGAAATGTTAAATTTGTAAAAAAAATAATATTCACCGGTGTATTCGTCATCAAAGAGATTATGTATCTATTATTTCTAGAAGACGACGACGATTGGTAAAAATAGAAACATTTGTTTCATCTTTATGAAACATGTGCTTCAGGGAAATTCATAAGATACCTGGAATATTTAAGAGAGAGAACTTCAATAAGACTTTCCTAAAAAAGGAATGTTAATATGGCACCGATTATCCGAACGAGCGTGAACTTGATAGTAAATGGAATTATTCACAACGAACTCTGATATTTGAAGCTTCTTATGCATAGTTTCTGTATTGTAAATGCAATAACTTTTTTGCAAGCAGTCCGATGCAAACCGGCTAGATTATAAACAGTAGAGGATGATTAGCTATGAAAGTGGATCTAGATATTAGGGTGACTAGCTGTGAGTGGTGCTCCATAGGCGAAGGGCAGACAAACAAATAGTCGTTGATCTGAAAGATTCAACGGAAGTAAGCTTTAGGTAGCACTAAAATCCACAGAAAAATTGTTAACTCATCAAGTCCAGTCAGTTGAAACAGTGTTCAAAATTGGCGAAAAATCGTAATTTTTTCCTTAAATCAGTGTTGTCAAACAATTCCAAAAATAAAATATCAAATGAATTAGAAGTTCCATCTAAACTGCATTCTATTCGAAATTAAGAGTTTGCCTCTATCAAGTCACAATTTCTTTTGTCATTCATAAAACTTTTGTAAGGATCAACCATCCTTTTCTAATTGGAATTTAGGAATGTTTTTCAAGTATTCAGAATTTCTTTCATATCTTTTTATTAGTTTTTTCGAAGTGTATTAGAAGAATGAGAAAAATGAATTTATAGATTCATATGTATGCCTATTTCCCAAATGCTTTCCAAGGCCCTCGCTCATGATAAATATCAATAGGATGAATCAAAGATCGTTTGAGAGATGATTGTATATGAAACGAAATAAATAAATATAAATTTTCGACATTTCTAACATCTCAGTGTCAATAGAAATCGAAATTCGTGATTTCATACAGAAATTTTGAGTATCGAAAGTATATTTTATCTAATAATGTCTTATATGAAGAGGAATCACTTAAAATGGATTTTTCTTTCAGTCGAATACGATTCAAAGAACACGAATAATTAATTACTCAATAGATCTTCAATCGTATTATATCATACAAATACAAACCGACTTGATTTGCTTCTCAGATGGATACCGAATGGAATACTGATAATAGTAATCGATTTTCAGTAGAGAGGTGAGCGATGTGTGCGTTGCGTTACTTGTTTACATAATCTGCTGATACATTGTTTTTAATCTAACAGCTTTGCTTTTCAAGCAACAATCTTTCGTTTCTACTTTAAGAATATTCGATAAAGACATATTATGTGCTTGTTAAATTCGTTTTATTTATCTCCAATGATTTGTAAATTAATATGTTGTTATTATTAATGAACAATAAAAAGATACATAGGATACTTATCGTCATATTTGACATGTTTCAAGTGTAAAAATAAATTGATTCTTAACAAAAAAACAAAATTTGGGGCCGGATATTAGTGTTATTGTTTTCATCTAAGAGTAATTTTTGTATACATTCTGATGTGCAACTAGAAACGAGCATCAGTATAATTTAATACTAAATAAATTTTTACATGTTATGATTTTATGATAACCATTGGGAACTCGGAAACTTGAACAAGAATTACATAATTCAGCACTAAAAAGATGACGTCCGTTCATTTTCCGTAAAATTATAACATATAAAAAATAAAAAAAGATTTTTATCTGACTTTATATCAAAAACAAAAGATCTCTCCAACTGATTTAAAATACAAAACAAAATTCAAAAAAACTTCGCTTTATTTATATTTAAATATTCTCACGATTCTTTTTCAAACAAACGTTTAAGTACAAATAAGCAAAGAAATATTCTTAGTTTGATTTTATTATAGCCAAATGAAAAGTATATCATCATCTCTCGTGTTAAGAACTTCCGTTCGAAAAGAACGAGTATTTGAATTCTGCAGATCACGCAATTTTTTATCATAAAGTTTAGCACGTCCTAATATACCGTTGATCATGAGAAAACTTAGTTTCAAAAGACCGTTGATAAGTATATGTGATACTTCAACGAATTCACGAGCACTACCATATAGTTCTATGATTTGCAAATGAGGTAGTTGCTCGACAATTAAATACGCAATTTAACAAATTTAATTGTTGCCAAACAGTAAAAAGATTGAGCTGTCGTAACCCATTTGACATGAGCATATTACACAAAGAACTATCGTTAAGGAGATCGATTAAAGTTTCTTGTTTCAAATAGGCTTTAGGATCATATTTTGCTCTATAATGCAGTTCCAGAGTACGTAAATTCGTCGCTTGCGAAAAGAGAAGATGAAGATGATTTCGATTGAATGGTTCAGTAATACTAAG